TATGATCATCGCTATTAACATATTGACAGATGTGTTTTGGTTCGTTGTTGAGGTTCAGCTCGTTTCTTTGTAGAAGAAGCCCCATTTCGTGATCGCTTCGATAGATGCGTCAACAAAAAACCGTTGTTTGCGTTTGATTTCATTAAGACGTGACTAAGCGATGAACTGGCCAGGGAATTCGAAGTAATCGTCCAAAGGTTCACATCTCAAAAGCATAATTTTTTACCGTCCATCTCTCAAATGCATATTGGATAATAGAAAAGACCATCGTTGTAACAAGTGCCACCTTGCTATGTGCTGATGACTTGGGTCATTGTCGTTCGTACAAGTTCTGTGAGTCGACGAATTTCAGGCTCGGAAATGAATGTGCTATCTATCAGGGCTCAGAAATATAAGACAGAAGATCATGACCATGATCTTAGTTTTGGAATAGTTTACCATGAAACCAAACTATTTCCTCTCCATTTGAACCCTTTTAGGAATAGTTGTAATTTCATCTGGACCAAATCAGAAGTGTTCAGATTTATACGACATTTAAAAGGAGTTTTTACAATATGCATCTACAAATGTCACCGATCTACGAAAATCAAACTTCTTGATTGGGATATCTACCGGTGGACAGAATCCTTTTTCCACGCTATAATGTACGCAGTGCTGACCTTTTTTTTTCAAATAATGAAAATGTTTAAAGAAAAGGTTTAAACCTTGACCCTAAACCCTGTCTCTGCTATATTTTGCAATGGAATTCTGGAAACTGAAAGTAGTCAGTAAAAGAAGAAGCAATAATGAAAGCAATCAATGTGAAAATGATATATAAAAAATTATAGCAAACGTTGAGAGAAAACAGGTGCTGTGTATGGGACAGGACTGGCCCAGGAAGCGAGGGTTAAGTAGTATCTCGGAAAGGTGCCATCCGTTAAAATAGCAGATAGTGCACTGAAGAGAATCCTAAGAAGTGTTCTCCAAATTATGGGGGTGGGCGACTCAAGCACAGCCTACATCGCTAGGCTGTATTTGGAAGAAGAGGAAACTCAAACTTACCCCGTAATCGGCTGCGGACCACTAGGGAGCTGCCGACTAAAAATCACTAAGAGCTGAATTCATTGATGGAGGAACTATTCAAACTCCTCATGCAAGAGGCAATCGAGAGTACGAGATTCTTCTAAGGCATAGTGGATCGAAAAAACTGAAAGCAGAGCCCTTATCATTAGGATAAGGGCGCACCGCGATAGAATACGAATAGGAATATGTTCCCACGCTTGGAGTCTATATAATGTCTGTTATATCCATCTCAATTTGTCAATCTGCGCTGAGCTGCTATATAAAAGTAACAACGAAGTGTTAGTTGCGGTCTCAAAAGCAAGAATTGCGCTGATGATTGCCAAACTGTACTGTCGTTTCTATACATGAAGGGAACCCAAACAAAAATGAAGTTATTTTCCCATTTCTTTTCATCTCTCCTTTTTTTTGTATTTTCCGTAAATCGGTGCATATTCGTCGACGACAAATCAGTATTAGGATCATTATTACTATAAAAACGATTGTGTCATTTAGGCGAATTAGTAAAACGCGAATGTCAGCCCCGTGGCGCGCAAATCTTATCGGGTGAACTTTATACCGGGCGATTACATCGCAGTATCGAAGTCAATCTGCATAATGTTTGGGAAAGCGCTGGCCGTCCGCGGAGCGTGTCGAAACGTTCGAAAGAGGAAAGATCAGGCGCACGGAGGAACGCTTTCGATTTCGAAATACCTGACGTGCCTCCTCGCCCGATCACGGGGATGTGTGGTTTCGGTTTCGAGTGGCCCCCATAAATCGCGAACGCGATGTATATTCGATCTAAATTGTTGGGTAATATCCTCTATTACGAACCTTGAATCTCACTTCACCAACTCCGACGATAATATCGGTAATTATTATAATGCAAGGCCTTTTGCATGTATAAGGTCCATTAAATTTGTGCGGAAAAAATGGAAATCCGCGTCCAGGACCGGACTAACGATTCTGCACCAAGCAGAAACTCTCATTGATTGGTCTTATTCAATGCCTTAATAGCATTACTTTAAAAATATGTTCAAAAATGTTATCGGGTCGAAGTTTCCTTGATTTCTCTTGTTGAAAACAAATATTTATTCTGGTCAATGCTGGCGTTTTAAACTTCCATTGTCTAAAAATGTTTGTAGGTAACGCCAGTATTGACCAGAATGAATCGTTGTGTGATTTAGTGCCAAGTTGTAATTATAAGCTTGCTGCATAAAACACCAAAACTCCTGAACACCTTTGGAACTATAAACTGTGCGAGAACCATTTTCAAGACAAGTGCTTTTCTCTAGGGGCATCAAGAAAACGTTACCTTGCGCCACCAACATTGTTTCCAAATGCTCACAAAAGAGTTTCTGGTCAAGACAAGTTTAAAGCACTCCTGTGATGGCAAACCACTTTAAATTATCTAAGTTTTTGAGACCCTAATTTATTTTCTAAATTAATTATTTTGACAGAGTATTATAACTTTAATATAATTTGACTATTTGGATTTACAAACGGAATCTATATTTTGTGTTTTTTAAATCTTACTATTCATATCAACATATGGAAAATGTGCCCAACAAGTGTAAAAAGTATATATTCTGCTCTCAGGGCGATTTCAGCAAGCTTCGTGTTTTTTTATCTTCAAATTAAAAAAGTGCTAGATAAAAATTAAACGCAACCAGCGACAACCGCCAAGGAAAATCTGCATCTGAAACGAGTATCTGCAGTGTAGTTCCTACAAACATTTTCCGGGAAGGCCCACTAGAACCACACTTCATGGGTGGTGAAATCAAAAATCAAGGTTATGAAAATTGATTGAAACATATACCTTATATAGCCTTCCACAGAATGTTTTAAAGAACGACGTTGGTGTAAATTCACTTTAGCTATTAATAATCCAATATCGTTGTTGGTAAGCCAGTGGAAAATTTTCAAATGATAACTATTACAAGTTCATTGGAATGAATTTACTCGCCATATTAAATCGTTATTACTGTTGACACTATGGATTAATAGCACATAAGGCCATTAAGTAGTACCCAACATTCATTATCTACATGAAATATTACCCAATTTATATGGTTTTATAATTGAATTTGCTGCCCACAGCTGTGAACTACTATTTAATATGATCGTACTGAACGGAATCTGTTTTATTACTCCACACCATGGAAACGCAAACTTATATTCTACAATTTCTTTTGATTCTTTTGGCTTTTATAGTGTAAAGTCGTTCTATTTTCTTAGCATTTGTTTTTTTATAGCGTTATTAAGGAATTGTAATGTGTTTTTATGCGACCCTATACAGAAATATGAATGAAAGGAAATAAAGAAATATTACTGTTCTTATGAGTATTATTAGCATTGATTAAATAGCAAAAATTGACAATTGACGCGTTAATTTTAACTGACCTTCGTTTCGGCCTTGAAAGAGACCAAATAAATTGTTCGACGGTGTTTAAAAAGGCGCCCGACGGAAAACGTTTGACACTGGTATATTTGTATTGACACGGTTTTAAAATCTAGCCGTATGGCTTTGAAGACAAATTCCGAGGTATTGACGTCGGGGAATTTGCAACATCGATTAACGGCGACACTAAATCAATTTTACGGCTTCGAGTGTTTATTAGGGACTTAAAAGGTTAGCTGCGTTCATAGTAATCCGCGATAAACATCTCGTGTCCCGACGTGTTGAAAATATTGTCGCGATAAGAACGGCCTCTTGGAATTTGTTTCCGCGTCAAACAATAGTCGCAACTAAAATTTTCAAATAATAAATTCAAAAATTGCATACGGATCAAAACGATGAATCGATTGATTGATCAAAAATGCAAAATGCAAAAGTGATGTAGACAGCATAAACTTTTGAGAATTGTGATATATATGTAAACAGATAATAGAAGAAGGGACCTCGGAGGTTGTTTTTAGACAAGTTACAAACCAATATAGTTCAAAATCGATATAATAAACCTACGACTAATTGTATTAAACTCTTTGGAACTAAATCATCATCAAAAATATCATTAGTAATAGTGAGAAGGGCCGTGCAACAGCTGTAATTGAATCTAAATCGCGATCTAAATCTCTATCCTGTTGCACCATTAGGCTGTGAAACGACATTCTAGAAACCCTCTACAGATAACAAAGTTAACGGACTTGAAAGTATTGAATATTTTTTGTAAGAAAACTAATACGCAATTTTAATGCTGCTTTTAACCACAAGCTTAACTTTAATTTTATTATTTTTTCGTAAACCAACCGGAAAGAAACGGAAAATAAATAAGAAATTCATTTATTAAAAGCCAGACTCTTTAAAGATAAATAAAATCATTACTTTTTAATAGACTTCTCCGTATGCACCAGGGATAGATAAATAAATTTACATATTTTTTCAGTCCCCTTGATTTGACTTCCATTATTTTCTTTACAAACGGAGTAGGAGATCGAGTCGTCTTTCTGCACTAAAGAAAATAATTCGACGTGTATACTATAATTTTTATATTTTCAATTTCATGTTTTTTGCTATCCACCAAGGTTAGGTTTGTTCAGGTTCAGAGGGCGCTTGAAGTTCATATCTCAAAATCTATTAAATACAATACAACAAAACGGAAGGTTACTAAACAAAAGCAACGTTTACCATTTATACGTTATCAATTTTGACAGAATATACCTTCGCGCGTTGAAAATTGAGCTGGTACAGGTTATAGCCGATCGACGAATTATACTTTGTACACGGAACACATGTACGTGTCTTAAACACAGTGCACTTTAATCGCGGGCAAATAACAATTATGACAAGCGCCAACACGCGAGTGTGTTTTGTTTTCGTCGCTCTCATACTACTGCACGCCCCGCCATTTAGAGGTAATAACTCTTATTACGAGATGCTCGGAATCGTTCCCGTTTATTTCGATCAAAATTATCCCGTTTTATAACGATAAATGAACTTTGCAGTTTGTTTTTGTTTTCAGAACCATTCCGATTGCCACAACCGCACGGGTGTGAATGCTTTGGGTAAGTTACAAGCTTTTTATTTTTACGCTTTTATTAATAATAGGAAGTCAAAAGGGAGGAGCAAAATAAAAGATCTGATTGCTTGTTAAGTTATTGGCTATTTATTGCAAACGTCAAGTTTTCGCCCATGGATATAGGCTTCCTCAGGACAACTAAAAAAAAACACTAGAAAACACTTACACAATTTGCCAAAGATATCAACCTCTAACAAACTCCAACACGGAGACCGACAAAAGCGAAGAAAATGTGGCAGACATTCTTAGGTTAACAATTTAAAAATACTATCGAAAATTAAAAACTACAACTCCCGCTCGTGGATGAACATCAATATCATAAAATAGAACCTGTTACTTCCAGTTGGTTTCCTTGGCCTTCTTTTTCAAAGATGGCCTCAACTTCTTCTTCTCCATCCGCTTTTTCCAATATCCTTTTTGTCCATCTACGCCCATTCATCCCCACGACATGCCCTTCTCGTGATATATCTGGTTGTCCGAATAGTGCTCTTATTTCGGCGTTAGTTCCATTCTGTTTCATTTACTTTAACACCTCCACGCTTTTTCTTTCCCAGATCGCGAATTTCTGTTTTTGTTTCCTGTTCACCATCCAAGTTTCAGCTCCGTACATTGCTGCTGGTCTAATCATTGTCTTAAAAATCCTTATCTTGGCTGCTCTTGATACCTCTTTGGCCTCTAGCATTTTATTTAAACCAGCCGCTTTATTCCCTTTGACACAAAGTGACTACTAAATTCTCAAACTGATAAACATTCTCGAAGCTGAATTCCCTAGTCTCCACTTTAAATGTTGCTTCATTGGATTTTTTGTGACAGTCCATTTGTAGATATTTCGTCTTTTTTTCACTTTTCATCGTCAAACCGCATTTTTTATACTTCTTTCGAGATCTTTAAATATAATCTAGCTTTTTCCTGGCTCCAGCTATAAGGTCTATATCATCTGCGTAGGCTAACTATTAATTTCTCCAAGTACCACTTCCAAGACCAAATTAAAGAGCGAAGTCGACAACGCGTCTCTCTGTCTCAGATCTCTACCCACGATTTTAATTAATTTTTGGAACTTTCTCGGGACTTGCAGTCTTTGTAACAATCTGAAAAGAGATGCTCTACTAATAGAGTCATAGCTTGCTTAAAGTCGACGAATAATAAATGCAGATTTAGGTTTTGCTCTAACGTGTTAGCCTGAATCATTTTGAGGGTAAAAATTTGATCACTGGTACTTCTTCCTCCTCTGAATCGTCCCTGGTACTTCCCTACTACTCTTTTCTGAACACCCGTGAACCTTTCTTTAGGCTCTTTGCAAATATTTTGTTGACAACATCCAGTAACGCTATGCCTCCATAATTATTACAGTCAGTTCTATCTCCCTTTATGTGTATGCGCAGATGACAGCATTTCTTCATGAATTTGTCATTCTTTCTTCCTCCCATATTTGCCATATTAATTCCGAAATACGCCCCACAACAATACCCCCCCCCCCCCCCACCCACCAATATTTCAAATCCTCTGCTGGAATACCACTGTCTCCTGTACTTTTATTTTTTTCATCTCAGTGATGATCTGTTGGATTTCTTTATCTGTTGGAGGTGCTGCTAGTAGTTGCGGATCCTCTGCCCCGCTAATTCAACTATTGGTTCATTTTAAATACATATGAATAAATATATTAAATGTATTACTCATACAAAGATTAGAACAATAAGTTTTGAATATGTTTATAAAATAGTTAAAACTTGAATAGTATCAGAGTACTAGATTAGTTTAATGAGGTATTAATAACTGAAATGAGCCGCCAAAATGGCTTACAATTTCAAAGCTGCTAGAAGTTGCCCGAGCACACAGAAATTAGTATAACTCACTCACTGGGCTTAACGCTATCGAGATGGTATAGGATATATAAAATGTTGAGATAACAGCCTTAAAAGATGCAGTTGTCGTATATTCTCATCTATACGATAGCGATGACAGTTTGAAAATGGGATTTTTCTGCAGTGGGAAACACATCGAGTGTCCAGTAGGGGCAAAGAGGTACGGCGTTAGGGATGGTCCTAGATATTTGAAGAAAAAAATTACTATTATCACCAGAGGGCGTAATTGTTATCTAGTACACATAATTACTCTATTACTTTTACTAGATACTAGAGTCCACAGAAAGATCACAGGTATATGTAATCCCCCTCTTGGTAGCTAACAGCTTCGGCTGGAGGAGCTGTCAACTCTGAGGTGAGAAATCGGGTCAAAAGGCAGATGAACCCATGCGGTCAACGGCAGCTTGTATGAATCTGGAAAAACACATAATGTTATCCTAGGAATCAGTGCCACAAGATGGCTGAGCCCTGAAAACAACCCACAGCTAATGCCACTACTTATTACTCAGGAAGCAATGATAGCCAACATAGATATGGATTCGCAATGGCGGTATCCCATGAACATGCTGCTCCAGCTTCAAACGAATCATTGCAAACTAAATATAATCCAAACGTATGCTCCTACAGCAGATAACTCTGATGAAAAAATTGAGGAATATTACAAATTATTACAACATTAAATCAAGGGACACTAGTATTAGGATATTTTACAGCCAAATTGGCACATGATGATTTGACAAATTTATGGGAGAGCCACTGTTACAATTTTGCCAAAAAAATGATTTTATAATATATAAACTTCCAAACTGTCATCTGTACACCTGAAAATCTCCACAAGAGAACAAACAAAATATAGTTAGAAACTAAATAGATTATATCTTGGTAAACTGCAGATACAAAAATGAGATCAAATCAAGCAAGAAAATTTTAACAAAAAAGAAAGCGGGGAAAAGACAAGAGTCCGCAGAGATTATGGAGTTAATGAACAAACGCCGTCGGGCCAAAGACAACACAGACGCATATAAAATATTCAGCAGGAAATCCGATCAAGGATAAAAAAGCAAAAGAGGTACTTTACTAAAATAAATACGAAGAAATAGAACACCTACAAGAAAAGCACGAACATTTCATTGTTCACCAAAAAGTAAAAAAAATGTCAGGATTACATAATGAGAGACAACCGACAATATTAATGGACCGGAATTATAGAATTATTAAGGACATGGAAGCACCGCGTAACTGAACTTTTCAATGATGATAGAAATATTAACGGAATAGAAATAGAACAAGATATCAATGGACTAGAAATAACTATGCTATAAATACCATAAAAAATGGAAACGCTGCAGGGCCGGATGAGTTACCCACTGAAATTATTAAGTTGATAAGAGAAGAAAACATACATTATCTAACAGATCTATATAACACCATATACAAGACAAGTATTATACCCAGAGAATGGTTGATATCAACGTTCATCCCTATTCACGTGTCACACACTAAAAATATTTCTGAAACTGAACAATCAATGCATAGAAAAATAATGACTGTTGTGTAGAAATCAACGCCAAAATAGGACTGGTAAGAACATAGTTTATGAAAATGAAAAGACTGTTTTGTTGTAGCGACCTCAGCTTGGATTTAAAAATGAGGATGGTGAGATGCTATGTATTCTCGGTGCTGTATTGTGGTGCGGGAGCATGGACTCTGAAGAAATGATGAATGAAAATGAAAAAATGAAATCAAAATTCTAGCACTGCGGTAGAATCTCCGAAAAAATCCGATTGTTCCCAAACCCGGGCCTGAGATTCGTCGGACAAGAAACTCGCGTGGTAAAGTGACGCTTTCCGCACGCTAGGCCGGTGTATAGATAGATATTATACAGAAGCGAGCAGAAAAATAAATTATTTAAGTTCTAAAATCAAGGTCATTTTTGAGCCTAGAAAAGCACTTAATGCACTTTACTTTCCTACTTTCACATTATTCTCTCTCTCTACGACACACAGTCACACACACACACACACAATAATACGCGCGCGCGTTTCAGCTTTGAGGTTATATTTTGTCGCCCTAGCGAATTTAAAGTAAATACGCGATACGCCTGAAGCCTCGGCAGCTGAGTTTATCACGGGAGGCGGGCAACTCCAATGACGTATTAAATTCAACTTTGAGCGGGTAAAGTGGAAGTTAAATAAGTGTTCCGATTCCTACTCCCTGATTAAATTGGAACCCGAAGGCTGTGAAATATATGTAGCCGGGAAACTCAAGGATTTAGCAACACGTGCACGCGGTAATAGTTTATCCGGTTCCAGACTAATAAAACTTTGATTGATAAAACATTTTTTACAACGACTTAAATAGAACATAAAAGAAAAATATAACAATCAGAAAAAACACTCATGCGCCTGTGTCATCAGCATCTCGAAAATGAATCTCACTAAAACTTACAGTCTGTCACTAGGCGTCAAATGTGGAAAATAGGGGGTGCTTGTTCGAAAAGTTCCAATCTCGTTCCCACCAGAATATTTGTACATAGTAGTATTTTAGTGGCCCGTGGAAGTTTAATAAAAATTTAACAAGTCTTTCTGGAGAGGACACCAAGAGCAAAAGGAGAAAGTTAGATCACCACCTGAAACTCGTAAAATTATTGTGCACTGACTTTTTTGCTACGTTGTGTGGACCATGCGGTTATTCCCAATTTTCTTTAAATATCTCATGATAACAAAAGATCATCTGCTCACAAAACTCTTCATAAACCTAGTTCAGCTCTACTTAAAGGAAGAATTCATCATACCCGCAAAGAAATACATTACTCTTCGGTTTCTACATCTTGAAATTGCTAAAGCTAAAAATCTACCTTTATCTTCTACCCAAAATCACCTTTAAAAATTTAAACAACCAACCTCAACACAAGTGAAACCATCTTCTCAATTCACAATCACTGTGGTCCTTTTACCATCACACATTTACCATCGCACCAACTTTCTGAGATTGAAAAATCAGTTCTTGCACAGGCTTCCAATTTCGTCGTTGTACCACGTATTATCCCAAAAGAGAAGATCGCTTCGAATGTCGAGTCTATACCAAACAAAAAGTCATCTCCCCAATTAATAAAATTCTATTT